CAAATAATTGCATTCGGATAATTGTATCAAAACCCCCTCATAATTTAAACATTGTTCTTCCCATAGGTTGTTATGAAATTGAAGATATGGCACAATTTATTTGTAGTAAAATTCATGATGATAATGAACAGTACCTTAAATCAGACATTACTTACACTCCAACTGATTTCGCTATGGTTCCTGATATCGTTAAAATGAGATGTGTTATTAATTGTAATTGTAGAATAGACTTCACAGTTGAAAACAGTATTGCAAGTATATTGGAATTCAAAAATAAAATATACGGAGAAGGAAATTACTTGTCAGGATTTATGTCTGAGAGAAATATAAATATTAATGCTGTTAATTCTATAAAAGTCTTATGTAATATAGCAAATGGCTCATTCAACAATGGGTTACAGTCACACTCAATATACGAATTTTTTCCTCATGAAAGATCAGGAACTAAAATAGTTGAATCACCAACTAACTTAATATATTATAGACTTAATACTGATGTTATTAATACAATAAATATTGATTTAGTAGATCAAGAAAATAACCGTATTCATAATTTTAATGAAAAAATAACAGTTGTACTACATGTTAGATGTTGTAAATCTTGATTATGGGTTTAATATTTAAGAATATAAAGCAGTTGCAAGCAATCAAATCGGTTAGTCGTTCAAAAGGATTACAATCTAAATCATTAAAAAAAAAAATCTATAAATATAAAATTAACTCGTAAAAGCAAACTAATTTTAAAACAGTTAGGATTTCAATTAAAACAAAATGCCTGAAAGTAATATTTTAGATATTGAAACAAATTATACTACAGATTCGAAAATTAATAAAGTTGAATATCATTCATATATTCCGTATACTAACTCCTTTAATAATAATGATGAAATACAAATCGGGGTTCAACAAACTGATGTTTATCCTTACCTACATGAAAGTTTCCTTTTTATTGAGGGAAAAATAACAGATCCAACAACGGTGAAATTGTCCAATAACGGTTTATCGTTTCTTTTTGATCAGGTTAGATTAGAAATTAACGGCGTAGAAGTCGATGGAACTCGAGTTTTAGGAATAACTAGTTCATTAAAAGGATATTTAACATGTACGTTAAACAATTATCATTGCTATCAGAATGCTGGTTGGGATTTGAACAATAAAAGTATTGTTAATGAAGCAGGAGAATTCAGTGTTTGTATACCATTAAAATATTGGTTAGGTTTTTTTGAAGATTTTAAAAAAATATTAGTAAATTCTCGAATAGAATTAATTTTAACAAGAAGTAATACTGATTTAACTTCTTTACTCAGTAAGAACGAAAACGCAACTACAACTACAGGTACTGTCACTCTCAATAAAGTAATTTGGAAAATTCCACACATAAGTGTAGATGATTCTGAACGACTAAAACTATTAAAAATTGTAGAGAAAGGAAAAAATTTATTTATTCCGTTCAGATCGTATGAAACTTATGAATATCCTGAACTCGGTAAATCTAAAAATACAGTGTGTTCACGCTAAGAGGTACCACGAAATATTTCAGTTGGTTGACCTTGTATTCAAATGGGGTTTTCGGGAAAAGAAAGGGAGTACCGAAATACACAATTTCAGATAAATTTCAAATTTTTAACTTTATCAGTGCGCGCATGCGCAATACAACTTACTTTTTTTTAAATGGCAACACCGTTTTTTTTCTACAGATTCGGGTAGAGAATTTTTTTTTAAACAGTTTTTGTATAAAAAGTTTTTTTATAACTGCAAAATTGGCAAAGTTATAGTATGTAGAAATTTAAATTTTCGAATAATCTGTTTTTGACGAAGTTTGAACTAAATTAAACTTAATGTTATTTGAAAAT